TAGCCGTCATTTCCTCAGCGATCACTACAGATATAAACATTCTCATTGTTTTTATTTTTTGATAAATGCCCGAAATTGGTTCGTGTACTGATATAAAATGTGATGATGAAGTTAAAGAATTCTATAAATGTCATTGTTGTTTACGTCTTATTTGTTTATATCATTTAAATGAACATGTTGAATTAACAAAACAAAATAAACGACGAACAAATAGTCTTCGTAAGGAATTCCATACAATTGTAAATACACTACAATTAATTGTTGAAGATAAATTATCAACTATTGTACGTGAACAATATTTGATTGAACAAGCAAAAAAAATTCTTGACACATCGAATAGTTCAATCGATGAATTAAAAAATATTTTCGAAATAATTAACCAAACAATAACATTAAATCGGCCAGCTAATAATTAAATTAGATAATGATATTTTTTGTAAACTTGTTTTTCTTTGTTTGGTAAAAAAAAGAAATTATGGTGAAAATCGAAACATCATCGAAATCTAATAAGGAAAATATAAATTCAAATGGTAAGATGAACATTTTTTTCTAAAATGTTTTCTAATTCATTTCATTCAATTTATTCTTGTTTATTTCGAGCGAATCATAGATACTGATTTGTAATGAGGGAGCTATCATAACTTATTAATTACCGTTCGAACTCATATTAATATGAAACAGATGATGCAGTAAAATAGTTTCAAATAAAAATATTCTGTTAAATTTGAATTTGTTCAGTAACTATTTAATACAAATCTGATATTTCGATGAATATTGTTTATCTAATTCTGAGTTTACATGACGGAGATCAGTTCATATAGTTTCCTTGTAAGATACAAAAATTCTTGAAAATATTTTTTTTTTGTTTGTATGTTTAGATGTAGAAGAAAAACCGAAAATGTCAAAAGGTGAGTGACATTTTCTTGAAATTCAAAAAAATAAAAAGATAATGAATATTCAACGAATATAAATCCTAATATTGTTGATATAATTACACTTGAGTATGTTTAGTTTTGTTAAAAAAGAAAATATTTGAAATTGATCGTCATATTTTTCTTTATTTTAGTGAAATAGAAGAATCGATTCAGGTAAATATAATTTATTGTTTTTTTTTTAATTAAACATCTTCTGAATAGTGTTATTATGTAAATAGAAGATTAAATATCGAAAATATCCGAGTCAATGAATGAAATTCTATTGGGATTCAATAAAGTTTGTGTAAATTAGATTATTTTAGACAAGCTAATTTCTGAATTAATAAAATTCTAAGAGAACTGTTCGTGTCTTACAGAGTTGTTCTGCAAGATAATTAATCATCGTACGATTTTACTATTGAAATTAGTTTTTTTAAACGTATATTACAGAATTTTATCCAGTTTAAGTATTTCTCTTAATAGGAAAGAACTATTTCTGATCAAATCCTATATTAAATTCGTTTCTATAAATATTATCCTTGGTGATCTTGTTTTATTTTTCTGTATTTAAGTGAACATTTATATAAGATACTTATTATAAATTCTGTTCTACAATAGTTTTATTTTTCAGGATGATAATATAAATGATAAAAGAAAGAAATGTAAATCAACATTATTCCGAAATCTTTATGGTAAATGTCCATTAACATTTGATGGATAATATGGTCTTACAAAAGCGAATCATTCTATTCAATATTGTGAACATGGAACAAATCGTCGAATTGAATTATATCTTCACTTCATTTATAAACATAAATTAAAGAAAGTTTGTGCTCAACGTTTGGTACGAGCTTTTGCCGATCATAAAGATTCGAGAATAATAAAATTATTTGATGAAAATGAAGATGTTATTGATCATTTTTATAAAATTCCATGTCCTTTTTATCAACGAATTAAATCATTAAAATATAATGGACAAAATCTAACCATTTCACCATGTCAACGTCGTTATGTTGCATTTTATAGATTAGCACGTCATTTACGACTTAATCATAAGATATCGAATTCATTGACACAAAAATTAGTTAATCATTTTAAAAAAACATCGAACAAAAAATGATACTATTTTTGACTTCATTAATTACATAAACATGATCAGAAACAACAGAAAATCTTAAAATTATTTTTATTGATTTTTGTCTATCGTTTTTTTTCTTGTTAATAAAAATAAAGAATCCAATAATGGAGACTATGCGTAGATCTCAATAAGACTAAGTTAAACTTGAGACTAGTAGAATTTAGACTCATAAGACGAATAACTAAGAAGATTTTTAAAACCCATATTGAGATTAAAAAGTGCTTTTGATATATATATATCACAAGCTGCAAGATACTCAAAAGATTCATAAAATATTTCTTTTGGAAGATTCCTGATAGGAGTTCTTGAGGTATTATAGAAAATAAAAGAAATATAATATAATGAGAAATTTTCATTGATAAATTCCGGTGAATCGTAGACAAATGATCTATAGACGAAAATAAATAGAAACATATATTATAAGATATAACTTCGTCTTTTTTTTGTATCTGCATCAGATTGTTGACTAATGGTTGATTTTCGTTGAACTTTTTAAGATGCATTGGCGTATTAAATATGATCGAAAAAGTCTCTTCAACTTAATATTTAGAACAAAGTATATCAAACGATTGTTTTATTTTTGGGGTATAGGTGTAGCTATACGAATAGTCACATTCATACCCATCCACCCTACAGGTTCTGCCACCTTTGGGATAAGTGGAGCCTTTCTGTTATAAGTTACTATTGAAAAAGCGGCTTTGCTGATTTTTTCTTCCTATATAAAATAGCCTTTCTCAAGGAGGAAACAGCGGTTTGTGATTTTCTGATTTAAAATGATTTTCATGAGAAAAGAGGTTGGATGATTTAAAGTAATGTGAATGATTCTCTTTTTTAAATGCACTGTTAGTTATTTGCAATTATTCTTTTGTGCAACACAAAGAGTTGAATTCTAAAATGTTCGTGAGTAATTTACTCAAACTATTGATCACGTCATCGCTAGGAGAACGCATTGATACGCAAGAAAAAGATAAGAATTTGCTTCTATAATTGTCACAATTAAGTGTCCTTGTGTATGATCAATGCTTTTAGATCAAAATATGCATCTTATAACCTACTCTATTCTGTATATATGTGTAATCAGATACCTTTGTTATTAATGCAAGGCAGACTTCACGGTAGTTCATTATTCGAAATACAGGCATTGGAATATACACTATTCATTGTTTTTTTTATAAGAGAAAGATAATATATAGAAGAAAATCAAAAATAGAAAAAGTTATTGTTTTTTTTAAACCCCATTTAATAATATTGTTTCTGGCCGGCGTGCACATTGAGGCATGCCGTATTAGCATCAATACCGAAATATTGACAATGAAGTTACAAATACTAAAGTCATTGAAGTACTGATTGCACTAACATCGGTTTTCGTTGAAATACTGAGGAGCGAACTGTTTCAGAGTGTCTGTCTTTTGTGTTTTAACTTATTAATCTCAATAAAAAGTAGTGGAAACATCACATCTGCACTTTCACAAAAAAGATCATCATATCTAGTTAGTTCTATCTTAATATATCAATAAAGTCTTTCAATCTATACTCATCTCGTACATTTATTTCAGTGATAGCGTTGGTCAAAAAAACGTCGAAGTATGTCGACGATCACTTTAGTTTTCCGGTGAAAAATCAGTAGAATCGGATCGAACACCAAGCACACTTTTAAGATCTGATATCACATGTTCTCATCCAAATTACAACGGGTTTTTAGGGGATAATAATATCTGATATTCTACTAAACTCCTTCTTACTTCAAAGGTGTCTCTTCATTTTTTTTTGGTTTGAGCAGTTTCACCCTCCCCTCCCCCATCAGCATTAGAACATTGTTTTCCCTTTTTATTTTAGGTGAAATCCTCAGTGTAGCTAATTGAATTGAATTGTATTCCTCTTGTTGTATGTATTGATTACAAATGTTATTTTAATAATTTGTACTATTGTCAGTACAAATCCAATTTATTCTTACAGATATTTATTTATTATTATATTTTTCTTATCATATCACTTATTAACACTAAGCAGAATATTTTATAAATAGAAGTTGTGGTCATCTATTTTGAGCTCTAGTCAACAAAATAATGAAAATAAGATTAAAACAGTACTACTCATGTCTAGGATTCGTATCCTTATGACTGTAAAAATAAATGTATATTGTCACGGACAGCAAATTAGTTCCGTGGGCTTTGTTGATAAAAAAAAACTCTTATTTTTTAAAGCTATATATCTTGAGGCATTTTTTAGGGATATCCAATCGTATCTGAGTGAAATGTGAATATTGCATCGTCCGTTTTTCTTATGAACCGTTAGATTTCGCTCAAATATAACTGAAGATGTAGAAATATTAAAAATAAGAAAGTTTTGTAAAGACACAATTCACTTAAATAGTTTGTTACCTGTGACGATGTACATATATTTTTATAACCATAATGTTACGAATTAATGGGTTAGAACTCTGATCATACCAGTTGAAAACGAGACTACTATGGGTTTCTTACCGATATATAGTCAATTTTAAGTCACTATCACTGAAATATCCCACACTCTAACAGAAATTTGTTTTTTCTACAAAACTTTAAAAAGTTCCAGACGAAGTACGAAACTTAATCAGGTTCTTTCCGCGAACACACGGGAAGAACCTTTTTTGTTTAGCGTGCAGTTAATTGCTAGTATAGCGCATCCTATACAGAACGGTCAACTGGCAATTTTTGGGCTCGAGTCACTTAGGTGGTTATCCGATTAAACATTCATTTTTTCCCCTTATTTTGACCCATCATCAATAACCGCACTTTTATGGAAGCTTTCAGAAGAGACACATACCAACTTATAAATCTAAAAAATAATAAAATTTTAAATCGATTGAAACTCTGCATTTAGGTTCTATAGAGAATCTAGAGTCCTCATCTTGTCTATCTCGTACGAAGAAACTTTTGGCGTGCCGCATCATATTGTATATTCCAACTAGTCCGATCAATTACGTAGGAGTTTGACGACTTCAAGTAGGATCATGTCGAAAATTATCAGATATTCAATCTGACAGCTAGAAAATGTTGGACGCAATCCGAATTCGATGGAATCATGCTGGATTTATATCGACATACCAGACATTCTGTGAATCTCCTCCTTTCATATTCTCTCATTTCTATCATCTTATACAATTGATTGAAAATTATCAAATTGTTTTCAATGAAAATCAGTATCAGAGAGTCAGCTTTCCGGTAAAGGGCAGCGGTTTCGGTAAATGTTCGTCGTTAGTGTTGTAGATGAACATTATGCCGATACTATCACATCTCTAAACCAACCAAACAAATGAAAAATATACTAGAGTCAATATGACGCGCAGACGAAAATGGGCAACCTAAAAAAACGTAAGAATAAAATGAAAATATAAAGCATTTTTCAATATCTCTCCGTCTTAGCTAGACAGAAGATACTAGCAGAGTTCTTGCGCTCTTCCTTTCTTTCGACTGTCACGAGAAAGACATAAAAAGCTTTCTTAGGAATACTTTATATTTATTCAAATGGTATATTTTTCAACTTAGTTGAAAAGAAAAAGAATGTTCATAGATCTACTACAAGAGAGAACAAATTGATTTTTTGGTTCCTAATGATTTCTGTCAACAGAAATCGTTGGAAAAGATCAGAAATTAAGGAGAGTTAGGAGAAATAATTTGAAAACAAGAAGAGCCGCTAGGAATACTAGAAATTATCGAAAATCAAAGAAATTATTCAAAATAGCTAGAATTAAATAGAAATTAGAGCATTTCATTTTAAACTTACGAGGAAACATCACCAACTGCTACCCTCACTTTGAGCTGATATATGACTCATAGATAGGACTCAGAGTGTCGATAAAAACTCTAGACGGATTCGTGCCACTAGCTTGTTTCTGATCAGTTATAGAATTTTCGTGAATTTTCCTCTCAGAACTTCAATTTTCCAGCCAAATCATGTTTTCGAATATCGATCCGAAACTTTGCCTAGATGAAGGTTCTTAACTTGACTAGCTTTCATGAAAATTTCAGAACTTTTTCACAGTCTCTTCGCGCTATGAATTTTTCAAAAGATGCATATTTTCTAAAGTATCTGTGGAGAAGCGTCTATAACTAGAAAAATTCAAAGGTTGGTGAGACTTTGCCCAAAAGTTCTGAAATTTTGCAAGAAATCTAGTCTAGTTAAGAGCTTCATTTAGGCAAAGTTTCAGGTTGAAATTCTAGAACATAGTTTGGCTGGAAAATTGGGGTCCTGAGAATAAAATTCACGAAAGATTCTCTAACTTATCAGAAACAACCTAGTGGTATGAATTCTTCTAGAGTTTTTATCTACACTATGAGTTCGATCTATGAGTCAAATATCAGCCCAAACGGAGGGTAGCATTTCGTGACGTTCTCTCGTTACTACTATTGATTTTAAATGATTTCTAATGTTGTATGATAGAGTTTTCGATGACGTTCAATAAAATCCAGTTATTTTCTTATCCTTAACGCTTTATAATGATTTCTAACAATTGAAATCGGTTTGTTTTTGTGCCGATATTGATATTACCTCCCGTTGATTTTCCTTTCCTCTTGACCCTCTCTCCATTGTTCTTTCCTATGTTTATCTCTCTCCTATATAAGCGTGTGTTGTATGTGAAGTAGTTACATTGTGGAGATGTGAAGTAGCCATCTTGAGACAAAGATATGTTGGATTCGAAGTTGAAAAAACATAGCATATCTTCTAAAACTTGATTCGTACCGAATTTTATTACAATGCATTGAAGGGCATTTAACCAACTGTAGTTCATCGAAAATCATTATGAACTTCTATCAAGGAAGAAAACATCAATCCTAATTATGTACGTTCGATGTGTGTCTATGATCGAACCCAAGGAAGAGTCCTAAAGAACAGTCTCGAATCATGAAAAAACCGTTTGTCATGTCTCACGGGACACGCGGAATTACTCTGAAAGTTTGTCTTGCAGAACTCTAGTCCAAGAACAATGATCAAAACATGAAGTTAAAAGATGTTCAAGTTTTTCTCTATGAAAAATCTATTTTTTTGAAAATAACGATTTTCTATAAACTCTGATCAGAAGTATTCTGTTATCACTGGATGAAACTGACAACAGAACAAAGCAAAAGCTAAACTGCTTTCGTAAAAAATCGAATCTTAAGTTTTCTGATTTTCTGGCAGCTTTAATACCACACTACTAGAAAGGGTCCCCTCTATTCGTCGTATAACACAAGGAGAGCACTTGGCCTATACTATGTGAGGAGTCACAAACTTTAATTCTATGGAGAATTTTCCAAAAAGATTAATTTTAACAGTCATTCCTAGAGTTGAATTTGCTATTTGCACAGCTTTTGATAAAAATTCGATATTTTTTTTTCCAAAACGTGTTGGTGCTCCAACAGTAATACTGCTAGTCGAATTTATTTTTTTCGAAGGTGATGGATCAAATCGTTCATCAATTTATAAATCGAAAGGAAAATTATTGTTATATATAAAATTCAAATAACTCAATAAAACCAATTTATGTTTCAAAAAGTGAAAGAGATTAAATCATAAATGATAGATATCTTTTTGATGATAATTAATTTAATACTTCGTGCTGGCGAAAGAGTTTGTTAGGAAGATGTTTCCATGAAAATTATAGATAATAGCATATTAATTCGATCATTTTTCTCATTTTTTCATTATATGAAATTGATATTTAAGTTTTAATATGACTGTCTAGAGAATTTAACAATCATCTTTTGTGAAAAATATAGTAATATGCAAATAACACTTGTTTATGTCCTGACGCGTAAACAGTTCAATATTTCTTTTTGAATACAAGATATTCGATCTTTCATTTTGGTATTTATACTCAAAAATTCTCATTAATAATGGTTTAAGAGATGTTGTCCTTATTTGTGAATGGAATTACTTCGAAAAATAAATTAAAGTATTTTGGTTACTCAAATTTATTGCTTAAAACAGTATATTATTTTGAAAGTACTTTTTTAAAGCATCTACTATCTTAACAAAACAGTCATGATACAAACTAGACTTGTCATAATATTTCTAATTTTATAGCGATAAAAAAAGAAAAACTACCATTTATTTTTGATAGTTCTATTGCTGTTGTGGAACCATCCATTACATAATTTTCCTTGGTTTTGTTTTGAAGTTGAGTATCTCGATAAAAATCACCAGTGGATTTTATATAGTATAGATGAATAAGCTTACTTAATTCTTTTTTTAATATCCATAGAACGTTTTTCACGATTGATATTATTTAAAATTGTTGATGATGAATTTGTTTCGTCTGTATTGCAAACAAATAGAACATTTCACTAATAAAGTAACAAGAGAATCAAAGAGTTTTTATGTTTTTTTTTGTTACGAAAGATCGCGAAAAAAATTAATATCCATAACAAATCGGCACTCTCAACTAACTTCTTATACTTCTAATTAGACTCAAATGGATCTCAGTGCTAATTACTGAGTTTTGTTGCTAAAAAAATACTACACAGATATTAGGATATGGGTGTGAATGTTGATCTGAATGTTCACCTCCACCCACACACCCACACCCACCCAAATCTACACTCACACCCATACCCATACTCTAATTGATGCTAACAGTCTTTGGGTGGAACAAAATGACCTATCATTCATACAGACGTCTCGATATTAAATTTGCGTAATCAAAATAAAATAAAAAAAACAAACACAACCATATTTTTGAATATGCATCGATAAAAACATATAGTATCTAAAGTTATGAGTTGTAATTATTGTCCTTTATTTAACAAATCGATTGCATTCCGTAAGTTTTCTTCAGCCTTAAGAACATTGGGATGATCCGGTTGACATGAATGCCTATAAATATCTAGTGCTTGTCTAAAATGCTCAATTGCCTTTTCATATTTCTTCATTCTACAATAAGCAACACCAATGTTTGCATGAGTAATCCCAATATCTTCATGATTTTGATCTAATATTTGTTCTCTCACATCCAATTGTAGTTCATAACACATCAGACAATTATCCCATTGTTCATTAACACTCATAATATGTCCAATCATACCATAGATGCGAGCATATTCCATCTTATAATCATTTAATCTAAAATAGAGGCCTGCCACTTGAAGATATTCCAATGCTTCTTTATATTTTCCCATATTAAATAGCATATCTCCAATATTTTTACGTGCTTCCATACTATTTGTTTCGTCGTTGAGTTTCTGCCATATATTAAATTCTTTTGTAAAGTTCTTGTATGCTTCATCATAATTGTTTTCTTCTGCTGCTACTGCACCCAGTCCACGATAACAATGAGCTTTCTCACGGTCCTCTAACGATGTAATGGTTAACAGTTTTTGAAAATATTCTCGAGCTTTAACATAATTTCCTTGTTGATAAAGTAAAAAGCCAGGTGAAACTTTATTCGCAATAATTTCGGCTGCATACTGTTGCATTATACCATACAAATCGAAACTTTCATCGTCGCATAAACTTAATAGGGCATGCCAGCGTTGATTTACATCATCGAATCGTATACTATCAATACGAAAAACTGCACCAAGCCCAATTAGAACTTCATCCTCATCTTTATAGTCACTTAGATGACTAATTCGAGCATAAGGTTTGGTGTGGTTTAAATGTGTCTCAATTTTAAACTCGTACAGAATCCATACCTTATTGGGATCTGTATGAGCAGCACCTGCGCCTGAAAATAGGTGTGCGACTGCAGGATTTGTACTTGTACTGAGAAAGCTTTGCATTGAAAAGTAACAGCCTTGCTTTTGAAGAAGAATGTTCAATTCTTCTCTGGAAATCTCTTGTCCTCGGTAAACATTCAAAGAAAAACTATCTCGATTTGTTAGATTGTTATTGCGAAATTGTTCATGCTCCACAAGTATCTGTTTATAAAGATCAACAATAAAGGATCGTAGTGCAAATAATGTATCAAAATTAGATTCACGGAGAGCTCTGTTTAACAGACGATATAGGAATGTACCTTTTGTATACCAACGAATTGAACTGCGACGTTCATAACTCCGATCGAATTCATCTATTAATTTTTTATCTGCTTCATTTTGATTATAGTTCTGTGTAAGATAAGTAATCATATCTTGTCTGGATGTGGCATCGATGTTATCCGACATTTTTAGAAGAATATCAATGAGAATATGAAAGTACATAAATTTGATATTGAGCGAATTGGGCGAAGTAGCAATGCTTTCCAAAGTTGTATTATCAGCAGTACTTTCATTTGTTGCACTAGTAAAAGTATTAAATCCAATTCTTTCATCACTTAGACGAAGATCGTAACAAAGTTTGGTTGAAAGTTGATCGACAAGAGTGAAAATGCCTTTGATCTACAAGATAGAGAAAACAAGTGACATACGAAATTAGTTTCCTTCTTTATAACTCGCTTCTTTCTCTGACTAACTCTTACTTTTCCGTATTGATTTGTCCACTCTTTGTTCTTTTCTTCTTTTGAATTCAATATGTAAATTGCTTTGACTTGTTCTAGTGTATGTAAGATAGAGAGAATTTCTTGTGTATTGTCACTAGAAATAATCAACAGAATTTTTTGATCATTGAAACTTGTTATATAATCAACACATTCGTCTCTGTTATGAAAAACTCTTGCTTCTAACTTCGTCTGAATGTCTGCCATGCGATATTCATCCGTTTCATTAAGCCAAATGACCAAATCTTCGTTGGAAATATTATTACTATTTGAAGTCATAGTGTCGTCTTGCAATGACGTTGCACAAAACTCTTTCTATTTCATATGTGATTCTTCATTTTCTTACTCAATATATGCAAGAAAAAAAGTTGAAATCAGTTGGTTTTTTCCAAGGAATGAGTGTTTACTAGAGTATAGTGTTTTTTTAACAGAAGAAGAAATAACAATCTTTCTCCCCGAGTTGAATATAAATAGAATGAATAATTAACATTAACGCTGTTTTTGTTTTTCTTTCTTCTCCTTCGTCTATATGGCACAACATTATTTTTTATTGCAGAAAGAAAGAAAACGTAACGCTGTTTTAAAACCAATCTTCTCTTTTTCAGGGTCTTTGCGTGAAAAACTTCTTTAGAGCAAAGAAATGAGAAAATAATTTGCGACAAGCATTTGCGGGTGTGGGTGTGGGTGCGTGCAGGTGGATGTGAGTGTTGACCGCTCCCCTCTCTAAATACATCCACACCCACGCCTACACTCACACAGCCACACCACCCACACCTGCACTCCACACACTCACTCACACCCTCACTCACACCCGTGACATATTGGTAGCACGGTACTTTTTCGGGTACCTTTAAATCAGTACACTCACTAGAGTAGTTTATTGTAATGTACTCCTACGTGATACATGGACGATTCGATAAATAAAAATCATTGCAATTGTTTATGAACGAGAAGGCGTTCTATTTGAATCAGCCTAGCCGATCACTTTGCACACTAGGATTTTTGATTGCGGGATATCTAACCAAAAATGTCTGACTTTGTGTCGTTCTTTCTACAGCTATGAGACAATTTTAAATAGAAATTGGATTTTGAAACATCACGTACCATTCTCTGATAGAAAACGAAGTGAAAATAAGCAGAAAATATCATTCTCATGTTTGAAGATTGAGAAATTTCTAGATGAATCGGTGTCAGTCAGAAAAAAAATCCAACTCTTGAAAAATAATCAGCAAGCAATTATCATCAATTTGGCATTAAGTTGATTCAAAACAAGTTTGAAATCTAGTCGGAAGTATAATTAAGAAACAAATCTGTTTCAACAGACCTATTCAAAAATGAAGGTATAGTAGCGAAAGAAATAATTTCTAATAGTTTCATATAATACTTTTTTTTTCAAAACTTGATATGATGGAAAAGAAATCAATGAGAGATATGCTATTAAACCCAAATGTAGCGCATACATTAAGCTTTATGCTTCTCCATTTAGATATAAACGAATACTTAATCAGATTTCAAAAGCATAAGTCTCAGTGGTCTAATGGTGAAGACGCACGACTGAAAATCGTGTCATTCAGGTTCGATAAATATACTGCTCACTTATTATAATTATTTGTAGAATTAATCAGTGATATAATGAATCGTGAAATATTTGTAATAAATGAACAAAATCTTTCCTGCCTGAGACATGGAATTTTTGTTATTTTGTTTGAATAATTCGAAGCTGATGCAATACCATTTACATGCTCTCATATATTTTATCATAATTACATAAGAGTACGTCTTTTTATATGTATTTATTTTAGAGAAATCAGAACAGAAAAAAGCACATGCAAAAGAAAATAAAGACCATAAAAATGTGGATGTGAGTGTGGGTGTGTGAAATGTGAGTGTGAAGGTGTGGGTGTGGGTGTGAGTGTGAGTGTGGGTGTGGCTGTGGATGTGTGTGTGGGTAGGTGTGGGTAGGTGTGGGCAGGTGTGGGCGGGTGGGTGGGTGTGGATGTGGGCATTCGAAAAGACAAAAACACACCCACCCACCCACACCTACCCGCCATGTTTTTCTCTGTAACGTTCTTCATCCAGTGTTGCATTGTGCTTAAGACTCTACAGTCGAACTACTTTCGCATATTTCTTCGAAAACTTCAGCACACTCCTCGTGCACAACGTACCATTTTCCATCTGAATCTTGACAAGCTTTGTTCTTACAATACCACCACGTTTGAATAAACTCTCCTTTGTCAGTCTTTGATTCACAAATTTGACAAATATAGCATTTATTTTTATTCCGCCCCAGAAACATCGATAATGAATGGTCATGTAGCGGTATTTTTTTCGTCAAAGTTTTATCCATTCCGCAGCCAATTTTCCAAGATTTTCCTATTATCGTATAGCAACTGCAACGAGCTGCATTCGGTACGTTAGCAAGCATTGTTATAACCACATGTCCTGTTTTGTGACGCTGTAGAATTCTATCACAACCAATTTTTGATGCCTCTTTACGAATAGCGTCGCGCGCGTTCTTGTCTTCGAGTTGCTTGATCAATTCTGATGCATGTTCACGGACTTTATCGTTAATAGTTTCTTTTAGACGCCTAATTGTATCTAAGAAGTGTGGCTGATTTAAACGCTTCACTGTCTCCTGATTAAAATTACCCTGTCCTCTGCTCGCTGAGTAGGCACCAGAGATGATGAACTCTATTGGTTCATCCGTCAGTTCAAGTTCTTGTTTTATGTTTTCTTTTTCTGTCTTCATCATTTCGTCTGGATTCTGGTGATCGTATATATGATCACATTTGTTTCGTACAAAAATTATTCTCTTCTTGACCATTTTGCAAATCTTGTCATCGGAAGTATTTGCGTACTTGTCTAGATCAGATTCACGCACACCTTTCACAAGTAATTTCAAGACTTTTTCATAAATATCTTTGAATCCATGAAGAATTTTTTGATCCACCACGATTAAACAAATGAGCATCAGTTTCGTTAGTTCAACAATTAAACCTTCGATGTCTTCCAATTCAAGACTTTTTCGAGGCTGTCCTGGATGTTGAACAAATAGCCGACGGTGTTTTCCAACGACAGCTTGATTGAGACCAGGTACATCGATGAGTACCATTCGAAGACCTTCACAGTTGTCATTTTGAATCAAACCAGCACGAGGGACAATAGTTGTTCCATTTTCCGTTCCGATGTGAAAATTCAGATTGCCCGTGAGTGCTTGACAAATAGATGACTTACCGACACCGGTATTGCCCAATTGCATAATGATCACATCGTGAGGTTGCAGTAAGAAACGCGATTTGTCGTTTGCTTCGTCAACATCTCTTGCCGTTTGATTTGGTGAGCCATCAAGCACTGATCGAATAATGACATTGTGTTCATCATCGTAGAATTGAAGGGTAACTTCTTTCACGCTTTCGTTCGTTATCCTTGGTCTGTCATCAGTGGCTCTAAAATACAAAAGTTCTTTTGAGGGATAAATCATAAGAATACTAGTAGCTGTTGTTGGCCGGTTGATCATTAAGATGATTAGTTTAAGAATACTTTTTCCTGAAATTTTTGAAGTATGATTCCTCAAAGAATTGTGATTTCTTAGGGCAGATACATTTTTATGAGTAAAGCAAAAATTGTATTATACCCAAAGTTTCGCAATGCCATCTACTACTAGATATCAAGATCATAAGAGGCCTCACTTATCGGCGCCTTTCTCCAATATATAATTTTTGATAGGGCTGATATTTTTCTTACAGATATTAGACATTGTTTGGAATGGATATTTCTTTTAGTTTCCTTATATTTAAAAGTGACAGAATTGCAAAATTCTTGCGACACTAACTGTGGCAACTCATTCTGATTGATTTTTGTGATTTCCGATTGTAATGGAGTATTTGACGACGTTTGTTCATCGAGTGTATCTGTAATGAGCTTCTCATTGGAGGATGAAGACGTCTGCTGTGTGGTCATCACCATGTTCGTTGTAGGGACTCTTGAAACTACAGGACGGAGCATTCCACTGTAATCAGTGTTGAATGTTTTGAATGTTGTAAAGTCACGTAATGTTGAATGTGGGTATGTTCTGTTCGTTTTTTTATCAGATTCCCAGTTCGGAAGAGATTCGAAGCCTGTACAGAACCAAACCACACCGTTTTGATCTAATGCATGCCAATATTGCAACGTATCCCATCCGAGAAGTCCTACCAAAAGTAAACTAATAGTTGGAATAAGGAATTCTGGTTGGAAAAATAAGTAGTAGACCGTTCGAGCAGTGAATTCGAAATAAAAATTATTGACTTTTGGTATATCAAGACT